CCACACATGTCTACACAGGCGGGTGGTGCTGTGTATATATATATATATATATATATATATATATATATATAATGATGACCAGAAAGGATTCATGCCGTAGTTAAATGGTAATCACTTATTCGAGCTTATTACTGACATTTATCTCTGGGCCTTGACCATATTGCAATTCAACCGTAGAAAGAACGAGGACAGCAATTGATCGCGATGGTAAAGCCAGGTATGGCGAAAAAAATTAAGACAAGATTGGCTTGACCAATCCTCAGTCGATTGGAAATTTCCTGTATCAGATTTCGCAGAGGCAACTGTTTAAGCTGTTGTTCAGAACTGTGTTCTGTAACAGGGGATTATAAGTGGCTCAGTTTTTTTCTTAGCATGATTATCAAGCTTCTAAACGACATTATCATCGGTTGAGGAATTTGAAACCATCCGAGTGGACGCAGTGAGATGATAAATCTGATATCTGGTTTATCGGAAAATACCGTTAATTAATTGTGACTTTTTAATCGTAATCTCCCAGTGATAAAACAGGATTAGAAGTGCTACTAGAAAAAAAACAGATTCATCGCTTCAACCAATACGTGATTCCGATTTTTCTGCACTCAGTTTCCTCTCAAAGACAAGAGTGAAATACTCTACACCGGTCGTTCTGTTGGATTCGGGCCAAGCTGCTTGACACCTGTTCTTCCTTCATAAACTAGTTTTCATTGCATTGGACTATATGAACAATTATCCACATCATCCATATAGTTGCAAAACAATCCAATTGTCATTTGTTAAACAAGCGAGGTATTCAACTTGATCCTTGCATAACTATGGGTTGCGGTATAGCGTGATACCACTAGGATGGATGTAAACAAACGCTTAGTTGAATCCGACCTCAGCAGCGTGGACAACAGAGTTTTATGAATCGTAATCACAGTAAGCACGTGACTTCCTGCCAGTTTTTTTTGCGTTTTGTGGAAAAAGTCTGAAGGCAGCATTACAGCGCAGGTTGATCGTAGCGTTAATCTGAAACGTGATTGTTAATTTAGCTCTGATACGTGTAGGTGCTTAGGCACGATCCTGCTTGACACACACTAAAATAATTGATCCTATCCTAGTGAATATGCTTTTGTTTCAACGTGTGAACTTCGGCTTTGTAAGGTTAGATATTCAAACGCCCACCATCGGTAGTAGTGTTGTGCCAAACTACCAGTATTAAGCAAAAACGTCAACCTGCTACAAGGGTGTGAACACTCCGAGGGTGTATGTCAGACGTACCTCTTGTGAAACAACGATACTGTTTTGTTTTCCGTGTATTCCAAGTCCTCATCGACGCGATGGCAACAGCTAACGTGGCCATTTTTAGTGAAACTACTTCATAGTTGTGCAGTTTTATCATGGCATACTTTTGGGTGCAACTTCAGCTGCTTTTAATTCAGGGTCTTCAAACCGACCACGTCAAAACTCCAGTGAGAGAGACCAATACCAACGACCGGTATAAGCCTAGCTCTTCTTAAGCTACGCGTATGTTATCCGGCTTCTCTGTTGACAATAGCAAACCCGCATATATGAGTATCGTCCTACTGATAAAATCACTTTACGAGAGTTTCATGTAGTTTGGATTGGATAACTTTGGAAGGATGGCCAAAACAATCCTTACGAAAGGACGGTCATCGTGGGGGAAATACAAAGTCGTCCCATTTCTGCTAACTGTTAACTAATATTTTGAAGTCTACGTGCCGCGACTTTTTTTGGATAGGACTCTCCTATATTTTCGGAACATTTCTCTGCAGGATATGGCACATAAAACCATTCAGCAGTTTCTCAGAAACCAATTTCGGACAGAAAATAGCATTTGTTATTTTCACAGCTCACTAATCTCATATTGCATTCTGTATTACACCATAAAAAACAATTGATTTTTGCTCCCCACAGACCAATGGCCAGGCAAGCCTCACTATTCAGTGGGACTACCTGAATAAAGAAAGCTTGCAGGAGAATGGAGTAGTATGTCGATTCACCTTCTGGATGGGGTGTGATATTCAATTTCACTTCTGTTTTCGAAAAGGCGGGTAAGAAAATCCGTACGTGTGACTGGTGATATTGTCCGAATATTGAATAATTCATATTAACCCGACGTTGACACAGGCGTGAACAAGCCACTTGTTTGGTAGGTTCTTAATCGAAGGTGTTCGCAAAAAGATATTACTTGTTACGCAACATCTTAAGAGAGGAAAAACCGAGGGATGAGAGATTTACGGATGTATACCGGATTTCAGAGACATTATTGTCCAGGGGACTCTATTTTAACGACAGTTGTTTTCGGGGTATTTATATGAAACAGCTTTTTCCAATTCACATTCAAAAATGGATCTTACCACTTAGGGTCCCGTTGATTTAATTTCAAACTATGGTCTACGGATCTGTACCACTTTCATTGTAAGGTAGTACCATCGAACAGCGAGCATCTGAGGAGGATGTCAGAAGACCTAATCTTAAATCTTTTTCGCTACTGTATAAGGTTATTCTTTCACGATGAACGCCGTCTGTGCGATGTAATTTCTGGGATATGTCAACCTGTTGGAGAGAACTTTCATGATTCCGGTCACATATTGTCACCAAGATCCGCTTCCTAAACATTTTTGTAGCGTATTCTATACTAGCTAAATCACTCGAATAGGAAGAAAAGGTGGGTTTACGGGAAATATACGGTACAAAGAGCTCAGTATTCGGTACCGGTGCATTTTCACACTCAGGTAGTATAACCTGTTCCGTTATCTCGATAACCAAAGGTACAGAACTATCCCACACTATTTTTTACGCGCACTACAGGAGCTCAGAAGTTTTCTCATTGACCTAATCGGGTCTCCTTGGTGCATGCTCCGGGTCGATAGAACAGGATTGATACAATACGAAAAAGCAACAGACTCCGTAGTGTCTGAATAACAAGCACACCACTTCCCTTACTTAATCCAAATTTAGCCCAGCGAGAATCACCCATTATTGTTTCCTAAGGCTTCCTTGATAAAACGCACCTATCCGTAAAGATGGTCCTAAGCTGGTGAATCGCCATTCTGATGGATGATAAGGTAGGAGCGTTGATGGCTATCGGAACACAAAACGATATTTTGAAAGCGTCACCGCATATTGTAGACCCGAAGCTATCCGATGCGGGTTGGGTAGTTTTAAAGGTGGTCGAAATTTGTGTACCTCCAGGGGGCCAATATGTAGAAGTAACAAATGTGGGATAACTTTATTTCTTGCCTCTCACATAATTCGGTTTTCTCATAGACTTTTGTATACCTTCAGGTGGTCTCTCCTAATGGCAGGTGAGCGTACACATGACTTAAACTTTCGTCAAGGTTTCTGACAAGTATTTCAATGAATCACGTGTTGTCACGCTTGTGTTAGAATGGTCAGCTGCTAATGTATGCCTTTTGTAGAGAGGGTATAGATCCGCGATGCAGCCGCCCAGGTACCAACCGTATAGATGCTAGTTTACAAAGGTGGCTAAAATGTGGCGCACTCATTGAGCTCTGTCCAGTGTTGGGAACTTCCTGACTTTCATTAGCTCCGAACGATTAGTCTACGAACGTGCTCCAGGAAATAGCTGATTCTGCAGGTGTAAGCTCGACAGTCCTAAGGGCTGAAAACTTCCTCATTCACCCAAACTCATTCCAGGTTTACACGAATGAATACGATTGTTACTAAAGACACTATTATTTACAAGTTTTCTGGAAGCTCTTAGGCGGACAACCACAAGTTTCGCCCTCTTTGGGACTTTTCGGGAAGGCGTAATCTCCAACATTCCGTCAGTCTTATTCCTCACTTTTACAGCAGACTGCACTAAGTAGATTTACACCATATTTTCAAATTTACTTGATGTTGAAGCCTGTATGTTGTTTGAAGCCTCTCTGGCAGTTTATCGTCCAATGTGGTACATTCCAAAAATTTGTTAACTGGCCAGTAACTCACGATTATGTGATAGTTGCACAAGAAGGTTCGTTGAAAATGAAAACCAAACCACGAAGACCAGCTAGATTCTAGAGGACAATTTTCTTCTCAAGGAGAGCGGAGCGGACATCCACAAAATATGAGAATTCTTCTCTAGTTATCAAAAAACCTATCGCACTATCCAGGCCAAACTAAAGCACACATAAATTGGAAATGGAGACAAGATGTGAACACATATGAAAGCTACTCCCTGGTAATCTTTTTCTGACTGTGATTAATTAATCCATAATTGATGCCTACGTGAAGCTGCGGTGGAGAATGCAATACATGACAGATCGGGCTATATTCCTTTGATGAATCTTATTTAGGGTGACACACGTTGCATTCTTTTTCAGGACTAATCATAGTGTCTGCATGATCAGTATCTGCTAAATAACGAGATAGGAAGCACGTCTTGTCTTGTTCACATAATTCCCAGACTAGTTATGACACTGCACGTATGTATACAGCAACAAAGTAGACAAGAATTTAGTGAAATACACTTATTTGCGAACTAGTTTGGTTTTGCGAGAGACTCAACTGGAATCTGGCAGAATCTTGTTTTTGATATTTCTAAGTAAGTGAATGTGTCGCACCAGGCCGCCTCATGTTTCAGTTGGTACGATATTCGAGATACCGCGATACATGTATAGATAGATAGATGCTCATGAAGTTGCTGAAAACTCTCTGACAGCCGACGAGAGATTACATGGTTCCAGGTGAGTCTTCCACAAAACTAAATTAATTTGTAAATGAGTGTATTTTGCTCATTTTGTGCAATTCGGGTTCAAGTAGGACATACGCTTGACGGGAACTAAGAGAATGCGCCTACCAGAGGAGCCCCAAGAAGGGCGAAACCGGTCGTGGGATTTCGAAGGGTTTTCAGCAGCCTTATGAGTAGTGTATAAAGTCTAAAATAAGGCTCGATTGTGATCTGATCTGTGGGTGTAACTGGTCGTTCGAAATTGGCGTCTTCGTTTCCAAGTCTCGTAAGTTTGATGTTTATCAGAGGTTCAACAACTATAAAAATCCAGGACATATTACATTGTATTAAGTAAGCCGAAAATGCACAGGAGAGTCAGAAAATTTGCAAAATCTCCTCATACTACCAAAAGCCGTAACTAGCACAGAAGAATACTAAAATTCAACTGATGAACGAAACTTCCAACTGGTAAGCTCTCACTCCAAGGGCCACTCAACACGTGTGATCACGCAATGTGGATCCTGTGAGTGAAGGCTGAGAGCTGGTAACACTGCTAATTAGCTGCTCCTGGGCGAGCGGCTAGGCGTCGAAACTACTGGTCAGGAGGTCGCGTGCTCGAAACTCTCTGGAATTTTATGAGATGCGTACTGCTTATGATTGCCAATAAGTATCAATGCGCTGCGCAGTGAATTTCGATTTTTCAGCATAGATTGGCTTCAATTTAGGGAGGAAGTCTCCATTCAGGGAATCATCTCTGAGAAAGGCGGATAATAGCCGCTTCAGTTGAGTAGATGCTCTTGGGCATGAAGGTGCGTACCAAATCGTGATAAATGCACAGCATTGCTGTCGGCTATCTACAGAATGACCTCTGACGAATGAGTTATCTTCATGCAGGGTCAGTCTAGCTAATCAGACTGGGCTATTGTCAAAGGTAGGCTGCGTTGGCCGCAGCAGTAGGCAAACATGGTTGATCAATTTTTTTTACCACCTTCTGATGTGATTTGTTTTATACAAAGATAATTTATGATAAATTGTCAGTGTCAGAGAAGACACCCACATATTTCAGGGATAATTTTGTATGTGATCAGTTCTGAGGCAACCAAGGTGGGTCTATAGCATTCTGCGCTAACAAACGGTTTGGATTCGTCTAATTTGTAACAGCTTGACAGGCAATTTGGCTTCACGCTGGAAATTTTGAATATAGTTAGTGTTTACGCTTAATCATTTGTTCTTTATTTGGTTTTAAGGATTAGCACTTCGGAGAACTGCAACCTTTATTTTGTGACCACAAAAGAATACAAAGATGTCAAGACAATGAAAGATCAGTTGACAATTGAACTCCCACAACCTCTACCGGTGAGCTCTATTAAAAAATGCACGATTTGGTTACATGATAAGAAAACTCTACGGTGACTATGTGTGATGAAACCCATCAGATTTTTGTTTTAACTTTTCTATGGTTGAATTTATTGTCCCAGGTAATGGGCACATGGTTCTCCTGAATTTCGAAGAAAGAAACCCTTGTATTACTGAGGGCTGCTCTTGTTTAGAAGAAAGCGCTCTTTACGTGAGTCAGTGTAACTTGTCATGCGCTGCTCTTGTCCCACAATGTCCATGTAGGTATCCGGCTACACAAACTACACAATCCGCGTGACCGATTCGGTCAAGTCTGAAATAAGTTACAAACAAAGTCTTACCTCTGTCTGTGGTAATCGATAACCACATCACATAATATTTTTAAGCGACCATTCTACATATCTCTACATGGCTTCCCAATAAGGAAACAAGAAACGGTACCCGCCTTCTCTTGTTCCCAAACTTGGCCAGAGCGGGTCGCACCGCCTAGATCGAACAACATTGGAGTCGAGACCACGACCTGTTTGTTGCCGAATGCAGATTATTCAAAGTGGACATCTGGGAAGATTACATCCATCATCTTCAATTTGAAATACAGTAGTATGTTAGTTGTGGGCAATTTATCTTCACCAAATAACGCAAACCACAACTGCTCACACTAAAGGCTGTCTTGCACAACGAGCAAATGAATGTATGTGTAAGAAAAATATGTGTAGATCTTCAAACCGGTATTTTGTTTTCAACCTTCGCAGGTGGATAATCCAGACAGCTGAGTGCAGCCTGTGTACGGGTGGTCGGTGTAGTTTTGTTTTCGCATTTTCACCGGAAGATCAGATGCAAAGAGTAGCACAAAAATCAACCAGGCATAATAAGCCTCGCATATGCAGATATGGAACCATAGGGCTAAATAATTTTTCTGTTGTCCCGTCAGGAACCCAAACCTCATCGCGTTCACTGAATGAGGAAACTCTGTGCGCCTTTTTCCTCACTGGAGACCAGGCGATGCACCTGGAGCTGTTGTGCTCAATGAAGCAATACAAATATTCAAGTCAATAAGAATAACCTATATAAGAAGTTTCCCGCCTCATTTGCGTTTAAACTATCGCTGCTTGAATAATGTGCGGTTAAAAACAGTCGAATCTAGCCGAATATGGCATCCATACCAAAAACAGTCAAACATCATCCGCCTCTTGAGTTTGTCAATTGCGGAAGAATTCCACAAATTCTCGGGTAAGCAGGTGAACTCCAGTATTTTCACTATTTCGGCCACCTAGAAACAGTCATGCTGTCATCAGGTGAACTTTATCACTAAAGCAGTATCTTCTGGTCTGCATGAATGTTACTTGAACATATATATATATATATATATATATATATCACTCTTTCTATTGGACTACTTGATGCCTGTTCTCGTGATGTCTTTATCTAGACTGGACGGGATAAGTCACAGCTTGTTGTACCCATTTTGTATATGGGCACTTTGTAACAACAATGATTGACCATACATTTGTTAGCTAAAAAACTAATAGAGGTCAGCAGCGCTACTAGATTTTCCACTGAGGCACATAAATACTCTGACGATGCCCGGTTCGAAAAACTATGCTGAGTCGAGTGATGTGGGGTTAGTGTGCACAGCGGACAGACAGCGTGTTGTTTCATCTAACCTCCAATTTCCCTGATTTGACCACTTTATCCTGTTGGGCGCCTACTCAACAGCCATCAGGTAACTATCCTGCTTACATCCGTTTATCTGATCACAGCTAAGATTTCATAGAAACTTCCAAATTCACCTTGACAATGTAAGTAGCAAACGGCTACATGGTGTGAGTTGGTCTCCGAATAAAACTACAGACCAGTGACCTTAAAAAGAACAAAACTAGTAGAAAAATGCATCCATCCCAAAAATAAGTACTATTTGTAACCTCTGATTGTGCATCACTGTAACAGTTCATTCCCTCAAACCTCTGTGCCGAAACATGGAGTCAGTCCATAAGGCTTTTTGCACGGTGGCGCGTGATGTTTTTTCGCATTTCCCCAACCCTTTCTTATTCTCAAATCCGCTACACCGTTTTACAAATTTGGCAGAGTTCATACGCATTTGAACTAAAAATTGATTCAAGAAATACCAGGCGATTGCTCAGACGCATTGCAAGTTATAAAGCAACTGAGTTCCACCTCATTCCCGACGGCAGAATGGTCAACTTGCCAATAGCACGTTCCGGTAGGTACAAAAACCGAAATCTCAGGTGAGCATATTGATTAATGCGACTGATTTTGTCCGGTAATTTCGTTGGTTTATTGCTCCAGAAAGCAGCAGACAGTGTTAAGCTACAAACTGAAAAATAAATGAAAACTTTGAGTCAGTTACCGTAAATGGGTAATCAGACTGATAACAGCATCGGCCAGGTGAGGTGCCTACGTCCTCTGTCAAGGAATATGCATGTCAGGTATCTCGTCGGGTTGTCTCAAGGAGCTTTTCTTCGGTAGTGAACGTCTGCGTAATCCGCTTCGGGGTGAGCTTGTCTAGAAGTGAAAATTCAGCTGCCTCCAACGTGAGTTGGTGGAGTGGTAGTAAGACGCTCGCCTCGCATGCCATACGTGTGGAGTTCAAACTCCTGCACGGCCGAGGATATGCACTGTTGATAGGACCTAATAATTAGAGCAAAACTCGAGTCCAGTGCTTCCCCCTTTAGTGTGGACTGGTTCTGCTGAAACTGAAAGAATCATCAGCCACCAGATCGACACAACCAAGGTAGTCTACCGGGTCGTCTTTCGAGGCATCGAGCGTTCCGCTCACATCACTCAAGCGCGAAACATGTTCACCCGTTCGGACGTAAAAATTCAGATGAGTCCAGCATGTGCTGGTTGGGTAGTGGTAACACACTTACCTCGCATGTCAGATTCACGGAGTTCACACCCCAACACGGCCATTTGATTTGCACTACTAATGAGCTTTAACAAGAGCAAAACTCGAGTCCCGTGCCCCAATCCTGGGTGTGGACTCACCAGAATGACTGCACAAGGACGAGAGGATGATTATTCAGATGAGAGTCATGTATGTATTCTACAAAAATGCCGCAAAAATCAACGCCTGAAAATCACTTGTGCCAGTAATCTGCTACTTTATTGTCAATCTTTCTTTAAATAGTGGAATGGGCAGCCAAAACTGAAAAAGAATGAACAGGGAATTTCCAGTTTAATCACCAAAAGTTTGTAGACAGCAAAAATTTGAATCTCTTTGTCACTTTGACTTCGCACAGCAGTCAGCTTCACGTAGTACTACAGCATCTTTAGGAACTTGTTTGCAGAACTTGTCGATCGAAATCTGCAAAACATTCCAGAATTTTTAATGGCTGACAAGCTATATGGAGTCTGTGATTGCAAACAAAGTAGAATTAATTGCTTTCCGTACAAGTGCACACCAAACGCATGTCTGAATTCAGTTATTACTGTTTCTTTGTTCGGACAACTTGCTCCGCGCGAAAATAAAACTAGGCTGACATATCTGTCTGCTTCTCATACGGCCTACGAGATCTCCTGGGGCTACGAAGATCTTCACATTGAGTAAAGCAGAACGCGTGACGGAGCATATTCCAAATCGTATAATCCAATAACCGTAAGAGCAACCAAAGAATCAGAGGTTAATTCGCAAACCTGTATCGCCTTTGGAAATAGGCCAACAGACTGACCCAGTAAACACGTTCCAAATACAGTTGTGTAACAGGAAACCAAAGTAGTAAGTGACGCTCTATTAATCAAATGACACCAGCAACGGACGATGCGTATAGGGACGGTTAAAGCAAACAATTTGGTTACCCTAAAATTGATCAAATGCGGTGTAGGAATCTACCAATCACTGTCTACTGATCATTGTTTCTCAACTTCATTGTATATAAACCGGATGTTTTACGTCCGCAAGTGAAGACACTGTGAGAAACGCTAACATATCGCTGCACGGTCCCAATGAGATTTTCACAGGGAATGTAATATCTCGCGGTGGTGTAAAAACACCACACTGGTGAGTAGTGGGCTGAAGTCAGAAGGCAGAAAGTCTGACCATTTTAGCAAGAGAGAATTCGCCGGGATTCGTTATATACACATTACTTGCAAAGATGAAACATATTCAGCGGTTTTTAACTACTCACATGCAAAGTTTACCTCCAATGAAGGGACACATGTATCTCGACTGCTCCGAATGTACTGCGAATTCCACAGTCTCGTGAATTACAGTAGTAGCAGTCTTCGGTTGTTTGGGGGTTATACCTAGTTACAAACTCGGGCTAAGCAGATACTACATCCTGTTCCCCTGTCCGTACCGGGAAAAGTCTGTTTAACCTCCTGTACACGGTTAGACAAGTCTAATACATTTTTGTTAGATTTTTCGTGCACGAGCCTCTACAACGCCCTAAACGTCCGCACCTTTCTAGGGTAACATATTGCTAGCGAGGAAACATTGACTCCACCAAGTGTCCTTCATTTGTGAATAGTTCGTATGTGATGTGGTTTGTTCTCAAAGCCCACAACATTTAGGGTTCAGTCAAACTCTCTCAGAATATTTTGTCGATTTCCCTTGAGACTAGTTCTATCAAACTTTTTATGACGGCACTGTAATTATTAGTATGGTACTGGCAAGGGTTAAATGGCAGCTGTAAATGTATTATGTATGGTGGCTTACTCAGACCCAATCCAGCAATTGCCTCAAATTTATCTTTCGGGATATAATGGGTAAATAACGGCTGTTCAAAAAAACTTGAATAACATTCTAAAAGCTATTCTTTTAGACTGTAGGTGGAAGATGTTTCCTTAAGTTATTATCTGAGAAATTTTTTTTCAAGAGGTTGGCGGGTACTTACAGTGTAATTTAGAAATTTATTGGGCGTTGGTATGATATACCCAGCATTGCAGAGTCAACTTGGTTGAGATTCAAAGCACGATGTGTTACTTTTTTGCTTTTTCAAGGCCTTCCATTCTTTATAAAGTCAACTCACAACAAGATTTTATAAACCGATGTTTCCAGTTTTGTTTTTGCTGTAGAGTTAAGGTCTTCATTTTGACCACTGTTTTAAGGAGTGTGACTGGTAGTAAACTGGTTGTATAATTGTCTTGTAGAGTAACGGTTTCGGCCATGCTGCGGTGCGCCCCATTTTTCTTTGGCAGTCACTGTGAGAAATACTGTAAGCCAGGTGAAGAACGTTACACATGTACTCCAGATGGAAATAGAACATGCAATAAAGGTGAGTGGATATACATGAATACATTCGCGAAATTCCCAACCTTCACATGCTTTAATTTCGAATAACGGTATATCAAAGGATACTAACGTAAAACGATGGGATTCCTTTGGTGCATTTAATACAAAATAACACAGAATTGGCTTGGGACATTACTTTGATACACCTGTGAGAGAGTGAACCGGTCCCTGTGTTCGTCGAGTACCCATTTGTTTGAGCGATTCCATCAAAGTTTACATATCTTGAACTGTATTTGTCTCTAGTATTTGTCAGTATAGCACAACCACTCAGCTGTCCCTCGATGTGTTAGGAGTCCTCCTTAACTGGTGAGCCAAATAGTCCACTAGCGAGTGTTATCACAACTGTGCCAGTGGATGCCAGACCAATGTGAATTTTCGCGCCTGAAACGGCGAGCGTGTTCGCTCTTGAACGATGCGATTAACAATGACTCAGTTACTATCCTGATAGTTCAGTTGTGGGTGGTGGCGTAAAGTGTACAGATCACATTGCTCAAGCGTGAACAAGTTCGTCAGTTCAGAGGTGAAATTTCAGAGTGCACTGGTGAAGTAGTGGTAACAATCTACGCACAGTTGGAATCGCGGCATGGCCAGGAATATGCACTGCTGACGAGTTCTAAGGACAGCAAAACTCAAGTTGTCGGAACAAGTAGGATTCCCCATGAAGATGAATGGTCATTAAGCATGTTTTAATGCACGCTAAGGTTCACTAGACAAACAAGATAGAGTACTACAGTTCTCAAAGTAGGCTAATTGGCATCGTTCAACCGTTGGTGGTTGGTAAGACAAAACAACCTGTATAGTACTAAGTACAGCGGAGTGCCTAAGAACCCTACGTCGCATCAGTATGTTCAAGCACTGCGAAAGAAATTCCGGATGCTCCCCCGTGCTTCGGGGAAAAAATTTTTGTGATGCTTCAACCATGAGCCCACGATTGGATTGTTTACTTAAAATGTGATACAGCGCCCGATGGGTCGGGAAACACTACCGACTTTTTCCCTCAGGCCAACGTATTCTCAGGTGGTCGCACCTCAGGGAAATTCATTATCTCACTCAGTGTTAGAGGGATGGCAAACAGAAAAATATAAAAATCAATTTTCCTGCCTCTACTGATTGAGGATGACCTGGTGCCTAGGCCAGTTAGCGTTTCCTTGCTGTCCAGCATCAAATCAGGAGTAAACACAGTATTGGAGAGCAGAAGAAGTTGGTTGTAGAGCGACATGATTTCCAGCCGTCATAATTGAGTTTAGGAGCGCAAAACCCAAGCGAGTGATGGTAGGTTTATCTGTGCGCTTTCCACCCGGACTGGATATGGGTTCGGAGCCCAGGACCAAGCGGTCGTGAGAGTGCTGCAATTCAGATCGTGAGGTGCCGAAGCAGCGTGAGGTCTTAGTTATACAGCTAGGGTCTGGCGCATTTTTATTATACAGGTCAATCATCAGCGTCACTGGCATCTACGGACTAACGGACACATCTTCAGTTAGTGTGGCCATGTTGAAAATCACCTGGGCCAGTAGAGATTCCTCTTCTGTTTCTGTTATTTGCAATACGATTATATTCAACTCCAATCGCCTACTTATTAACAGATACATTAGTAAATACCTCATGCTATCTTAGGGTAGACATACCCATCCAAGGACTTCGACAAACGTACCCATATGCATATGAATTGGGTTTTCACGGGAGACTCAAGTAAATCTCCGGTGTATGGCATTTTTCTGCGATATCTTGAATACCTTACCAACTGAAACCATGAGGCGGCCTTTATGCAGCAAATTTATTTGAAGAATACCACAAACGAGAAATTTAGTTGAAGATCAAATTTGTGTGCAAATGAGTGCATTTATCAAAACCTCCCCAATTGGAGTCCATGTGGAATATGAGGCTGGAGGAATCATGGGGACTGCTCCTACCTAATGAGCTCAGAAAACTCATGCAGTCCTAGGAAACTGTATATGTTTGGCTTCTGACGAACTGAGGCACCCTGGGATTACAACCACCTAAGACTTTTCCAAAGTTGGGAGGCTATGCTTTCGACTTCACTCCACAAGCAAACCACCTAAGCTACGGTCTAATGAGATATAGTGATGCGGAGTGGTTGCTCCGGACGCCAAATCTAGAGGAGAAGGTAATGGAGAGGAATTATGCGGAGCATTTCGATGCAATCTGTGCATACCTGGACCGAGATTTACGGACGGATAACTCTCTAGGAATGGGAACTCTGTTCAATCAGTTTTATAAGAAAAAAGGAAAAATTCGTAAGGATCACTAAATGACTCGAGTCGTCGAGAACTTGTCACTTCCCGGGGCATTTGTGAAAGGACCAATACTTCCGGTTAAGCTACCATAGTCAGCCGCTCCTCATTTCCCAATCTTTCTTTGTGTAGTCGGAAATCGCCTGTTTTGGTTCCGCAACTCCAGAATAAATAAACGTTCAAGAAATTTATCATGTGATCCAAAACATAAGTGATAGTGAATTTCGCAAAAGCACAAAATACTCATTTCCTCTAATCAGCACATGTGTTTCGACAGTATTGTTGTATACATCGGTGCCATACATTGATTTTGCTGGTGGGATCAGTTGTTGCAGTCCAATGGATTATTTTGAGTTTCGACTGTGCGGCCCAGATTTCATGGTTGTGAGTAGCACACTTCCACTCAGTTTTGACTGTCTTATGAGTAGGAATACCCAGTAAAGCGTGGTTTCCAACGCTACTCCACATCTGAACCACTCGAACAGCCTATCAGGTAGCCTGTGACTGATCTTTTTCGCTCAGGTGGTTAGTGCAATTGAGGACATTCATCAAAGTGCTCCCACCTGTTCAAGGGGAATCCCATAAAATGGACGCACTCCCTGTCCGACATATATTCAGTCGTCTGCATGCACTGTAATTTTGGGTCATCAAAGCACTTCTTTAATAAGACAGACAAGACTCTTGGCTGTTTTGAGGGAAACTTTTTTGTGAACATTGAGGCTTTCATCTATCGTAAATTTTTGGCTTCCTACACACAGCACGCTATTCCATACATCCTTTTATATGGTTTGCTCACTACTGGTGCATGCTGAGCACCAAAGGCATCAAAGCTCTTCGTCTTTTTGTACTTTTGGTGCGATTCGTATGATTTAATGGCTCAAAATCTTTTATGGAAGTGTTGGATTTCGGCCCTTGTACAAGACAGAGTTGAACTGTTCAAGCTGTCTAAAAATATTCCCGGTATACATGTATGTCTGAAATTCAACTCCGTTTCTATAGCTTTCTAAATAACTCACCGCTTAGCTCGATTCGCTTATCTTTCCAATTCAGGTTACTCTGGCGTCCTGTGTGATCGGGTAGACTGGTGTGTAGTAAACCCGTGTCCTGGAAACTCTACGTGTGTTACTAAACCGGATAGTAGTGAAAGAACTTGTATATGTGATGAAAAAGGTAAGTCGTCTCAGTTAGCTAGTGGGGGACATTTCAGTAGGAGGGAAGTTTCCCACTTTCTGAGAAATTGAGGACACTAAGAATCGAAAGAACCAGTCGCTTGATGAAGGGGTTCACTCCTCATGCCAGATATGCTGTTCTGTTTCAATATTTCTTATATAAGACAGGCGCATCACAACACAGATTAATTAGAAACAAAATTTGTACTTTGTAATAACCAGGATGATCGCGAAAGTTTCTAACTGGGTAGATTTCTTTAGATAAAAAACAGGTATTTGACTTCGATG